CTCAAATACGAGTATATCAAATTAATTTTCTCGTAAGTGGTAAGAAAAGTGACTAAAAGAAATAACATAATATCGCCAGACACAAAAAGATATCATAAAACAGAAATGAGCACTGAATTTCTTTCTTACATCCCTTCTTAAACCAGGTGCTTTAATAGCAGTAGTTTTACAATAAAACGGGGGGAATAAACTAACAGTTCTTTTATTATCAATATTTCAATAAGCTTTGCTTCTTCCTCACTTAAAAACTGCTTGCAAAAGGTACGAAATTCGGACTATGGAAAAACAATCTTCTCGTTTAAAGATAATCTGCAGGAGTGCTCATGTGACAAAATACAGGGTGGTCATAAAAAACTCTCCGATATGAACACCTAGCGTTCTATCCGCTCAACCAATCGAAATGAAATTTCAGGTTTTGCTATTTGAAGATATGCGTTCGAGATTGTGATGATTTAAAACAACACAGCTCCCACGGCTACGGTTACAGCGAAAACATTTCGATATTTTCGAAATTTTTCTTAATTGATCAGCATTGATTGCATTGAAAAAATATAATGGCGTTGAAACGATACACGTATGACAGAAATTTAAGGTTTGAAGCATTTCCAAAGAAGAACGTTGTAAAGGACTAAGAGCAACACAAGAAAGGAGAGAGGAAATAACTTTTGTTGGAATTACAAGTTTTCAACGTGCCCCATCTTTGCATAATAACGCATTCCATGTAGAAGATTGTTGACAACAATGACGAAGGTCACATGGTAGGAGGAATCTATATAAGTTAACGTTTTTTTGGCATCTTTCAATTCTCACAAATCTGGTGGATTTGATGTGCACACCTTAGATTTCAGGTAATCCTAGAGCGTTATTGTCTGCGAAGGTGAACACGTTGAGAACTTGTAATTCCAATAAAAGGTTTTTTTCCCTCTCCTGTCTTGTGTTTTCATTGGTCCTTTACAATGATCTTCTTTGCAAATGTTTCACACCGACAGTTTTCGTCATACGTGTATCCGTTCCAACGCCATTTATGGTTTTTCAATGCGCTGAGTAATTTGCGCCGGAAAAAAGTGGATGTTGTCATTCGAAAATTTCGAAATTCTTTGACCAAATGTAACTGTGAAAGCTCTAGTATTTTAAATCATTCCATTCTCGAACGCATACTTTCAAATCACAATACTTGAAATATAATTTCGTTGATAGGCTGCAAGAGATTGATAAATCGGGGAAGTTTTTTTATGAACATCCTGTATATTCATGACTTTTTTCCCTATCTGCCGTAATTCACCTGCGCTGGTAGGCATTGAGAAGACTTGCTTGAATAATCTGATTTTTTTCTGGAAAGTGTCGTAAGAAAACTGCCAATTGATGGCTTTAATGCTCATGACTCTTTTGTCAAGATTTTGAGACCGTACATTTTTTACGTACATAAATATTCTAGTATAAAAGTGTTCACCCCCAGTATCAGATTCCACCTATGAAGCTGAAAGATTCAAAGCTTTAAAAAATAGAAAGTAAAGAGTAATATAATGTTAACAGAAATTCCTGACAAAAGCGTAAGCAAGTAATACCCTTTTCACACAGTAACTTAGAGACTGACGATTTTGATTACAGAAGATGACAAAACACAGTTATTTCTTATTGCTTACAAATTCATGCCGTAAGATACATAATTAGTTGATTTACAGGCACATAAATGAAATGACGCTTTCCTAATAAAAATATCAAATTCTCTAGCATCATGCGCACATCTAAACGAGCTTTCACCTCTATTTTCAAAACATAAAATCTTATTCTAACTTGCCACATTTAACTCAAATTTATTTATAACTTACAAACATTTTGTTGACATTAAATATTTAATACATGCAGTAACTTTGTTTTACAGACATATGAACGTATAAACATATTAAAATAAATTTTCCAAATAAAAATGTTGAAATTAAAATGATGATTAAAAGGGGTAATATTACAGATACTTCGTTTACTTTGCTAGACTAGAAGAAAAATATATGACTCAGAAATTCCCTTCCCCTTGATGAGTTTGAATATTTTCTCCACCCCGATAAAAACAGAACATTTTTAAAACTGTCCCCAAAAGTGCTCCGATTTATATAAAGCACATTTCTTTTAGGAAAAAATCGCAAAAAGTCACAAAAATTTTCAGTTTCGAAATTTTTTACATGATAGACGAATTTACTACGCTATGAGAACGCTTTGTTGGGCTACAAATATGTGCTAAATTAATTTTCCACAGACAGCGACAAGCTTATTAGTCTATAGAAATACAGCAGTAAATTTTCAGAAATGACCAGTCTCTGTGTTAAACATAAAACAGCACATTTCTCCTAGCAACATTTTTTTCTTTAATAAAGAATTAGATTTAAACGACTTAAAACTTTGATTCTCAGCATCATTAAATACAGTTTCATTAATTCAATTTTAAAATAAAGAAGCTCTCATTTAAGAAAAAACAATCGATTAACAGAAATTTTATCTTGAAATTTTATCTTTTATCTCATCTTTATCTTGTGTGCGAAAAAAAAATTTTAAATACATCCTCTTCAAAGAAAATCTTACAATGCTTATTTTTCACGCTAATGAAACGTTAGGCATATAAGAATTGGCAAGCGTGGTTTGGGTTGTGAACGCTCCTTACAGCCTAGCCCATTCCTTAACTGGATACATATTAAAGAACATAGGGTCTCCTTATGAATTCTTTGCTAATGCCTTTCACTAAACTTTCAAATGTTTCTTTAACTTCTTAGTCTACAATTGTTTTTTATATTTGATATTTTTTGCACCTCTAACTTTAATCTTTAACTTGCGCTGTCTTAACCTAGAGTACTTTTGATATGACCTCGAACCTAATATTTTAAGGGCATTTTTAGGATAATGCAAAATATGAATAGTACCCGTTTTGAGTATGTTTCTATAACATTATTGATGTATTTTAAAAACTTAGGACGGCATCCCAGATGGTATACTGTTTAGGGACATCTACTATGGTACCGAAGGGGCTGGGTTCGAATCCCGGAGAAGGCATGGATATTTGTAAAATGTATAGTGTCTTTGCGGAATCGGGGCACTCTAAATAAATGTCGAGCCGAAAGTCCTCTCTAGAGATTGGTGGAGGGAAGAGAGGCGGGACGTGTTCCCTCTGGGTGCTCTTCATCAAAATTGGGGCGCCACCATTCGTCGGGCGGGCGCAGTCTTGCTCTACTTGCTACGATGAATTTCGTGGGCTTGTTCTTATGTTACAGTCAAACAAGTGATATAAGTCTCAAAACAACAACAGAAACTTAAGGAACATATAAAGAAAATCATTAGACTTCTGGGAATGAAACTTCACTAAGCTGCGTTAGTTAACATAGATAAAGGTTTTAGTTCTTAGTTAAAAAAAAATATTGTCTTAATCGGTCTTAAAGATAGCAGGCATTCTTATTTATTCTGCCACCGATCAACGAGCTACATAATGTAAAAAATGTAATCCACTTTCAACACTTGAAGGTGAAGGAAAAACACTGCATATTTATTTTATCTATACCACGCTTTTTTATAAAACGCTGTAAGAAAAGCGCATTACCAAAGGTGGATTTTTAGGGTGCGCAAGTAGTAATCAAAAGCGCCCCGCGTTCCAACGGCCCTAAATCACTTTCAGGATTCAAAAATAAGTAGTGTAAAAATTAACAAAAACACTTTAAGGTTTAAGGTGAAGAGCCCCCAAAAGGTTCAAACCAGGTAGGGCCCCACTTCATAAGTCAGACATTGGGCATCCCAAAGAATTTTCAAAAACAGAGATTTCTAGGATGTTGGATAGGCTTTAGGTACTGCTTTCTTTTACATAACTGCTACACTAATCATGCTGAATACCCTCAGTGCAGAAAGTAAGATAGCCATTATAATGTTGGTACCAATGATTCCTTCAAAATAAAGCAAATTATAGGATACTCTTCTAATGAGCAGTGTGTTAACCTACTTTCTGAAGTTATCAAGCGAATGGAATGAAACATGCACGTATCTATATTTTTTACTTTAGGAAAAGAGCTTGAGAAATTTAGAAGCAAGTTAAAGATTGTGCTCATCTTTTAACTTTGCATCTTAAGAGCTGTGAAATAAAAGATAATACAAATTTATTTGTTTTTCTGTTCCTTTAATATTCTAGAAAGATATAGTCATTCAAAAGTTAATAAACATTTAAAAAATCTGTATTTCAACGAATTACAAAGCATAGCAATGTAATTAGCACAGCAATGCATAGAAATTATGAATTTTTATTTTTAAAGACTTTATTATGAAAAGTTTTAGATAAGACTATATCGACTAGACGGCACTTCGCTTTGTAATCTTGATCATGTTACTCTGCTTTTGAGCTATCATTAGCTGACTTGTTCAAAAATAATATAAGAAACCTAAAATATTAAAGAAGAACATATAAAACTATAAGAAAATATAAAACTAGAAAGAAGGCAAGCACCACATTTTGAGATAATCATGCAACTTCATATCATTTCTCTCGACTTTGAGATAAACTAGAGTAATAATCCGTCACTTTCAGTATTAATGTTTACCCATACTTCCGGACCCAAATGCTGACGCCATTTTGTATCGTGAGGCTACATGAACTTACGGAGTTGCGGTAATTACCCAGTATCATTGGTATTATTAAAAAACGCTCTATGAAAGCATGTATCAGTGATTCCTATATAAATGTATTCTATACTGTCAATTACGGCTTAGCTAGTCTTCAAGCAATGTTTGATGATAATAGTCGCCTCATACAATATTATTACTGGTATTTTGCGTTCTGCTGCATTTGAAGTTTGGTCTGGTGGACAGAACTACAATAAAAAAAATTTTTAATTTCCGTAATTTTATTAAATATAATGCTTTACCATAAACTGAAAATTCCTCGAAATACAAATATTTTAAATGTTTATAAATTTTGGGATTACCTTGTATGTAACATAAGAATAAATCTGAGGTCGGCTGCAAAACAAACTTACCATTAAAAGTAGAGTGTAAGACAAACGTCTAGAAGTTCGTGTCGTCCCTTATTCTAAATTCAACATCATTAAGGAAGAATGCATCTTTTCAGTCTGAAATAAAATAAAATAAATCTAAATGTCATCAAAAAATATCGTTCTTACAGCAAATAACTATTAAAGTAAAATATTAAAATGGCAATTATTACACGTACATTCATAATTGAAACAAAATTGTTTAAAAATGTGTTTCCCGCCAAGTTTATTCTAGTCGAGTAAATGATTGAGGTTATTCTGATTTTTGCCGATTTGTACGATACGTGCAAAATTATTGGTATTGCTCTTGACGGTCTATACAGTGTTAATATCTCCTAATTAGTACTTAGCAGAACATTAGAAAGACCGGATCCATACGTCAGATGATATTCGAATTCTTGCCGAGAGCCACAGATTCGCTGCAATGTTAATATTTCGCTTAAGCAATTTCTTGCAGGCTATGGTCCGTTTGCAACCTGTTTCCAAAGATTTTGATGTAGATGACCTATGCCGATACAGAAGATTATTTATGTCACTGTGGTCGGACTAGAGATATTAACCATTGTGTGCTTTACGGTGTATATCTATATCTATATATATATGCAAAACAATCTCTTGCATTAAAACGGTCATCTATTAACTCGGAAGCTTGGGCAATTTGCAATTACACATATGCAAAAAATTTATTTTAAAATTTATGAAGTAATATCACTCTGATCAGATATACCAGTGATATTTCTGACATAAAAACTTTCTTTCATTTTTATGATAATAAGTCTTAATTTTCTTCCAACTTTTCTATCACTTGTCATGCCTTTTCTTGCACATTATTCACTTAAGAGGCATTTTCTCCCATTTTTGCGCATGCCTTCATGGTGTAATTGGAAGTACAATCGACGCGTATTCGGGAGGTCCAGGGTTCCAGTCTCGGTGAGAAAAATGCACATTTTTCACATCTTCTGCTTCAAAAAAATACCTAATGACTCCACACACTGTATGTTCATACCTGTACCCATTTGTTACTACTGTTTGTAATATATTCGTAGTTATGTATGTTGCAAAGTTAAGTCGACTGCATTTCGTATCCATATGCATTTCACCTCATTTCATATCTATCTGCATAAATATTCACATTTGCGTACATTGCATAATTATACGAAAAACATTTTTATACAATATAACCAAAAGTCAAATGTCTGTATATGCATTCTAGTTTTCCAGTACATGCAACTTGTTTCCTACATTGTGTGATATCTATTTCGCAAATAGGTTAATATCATTGCGTCTTCCCCACACTGTAATTTCTCTCTGCTTGTGGTGCAGTTTCTTCTTGTTTCATGGACGTTTTACCCTCGAAGACAAGACACTCTAGACCTGATTTCACATTCCCCCCCCCCGCTTACTTAACACTACCGATATGCGCTTAAAGTGAGTCAAGTTGCTCAGTCTTTGGTGAAAAGTAAGTTAAGATATTTAAATTGTCTTTCAAATTATTACAATATATTACATGTTAGTGTAACAAAATGAGCTATTCAGCTATATATATATATGTATATAATCAGACTTCATTCTCAAACATACTTCTATATAATTTACTCAAATATATGAATACTTGCAATAGGACTACAAGAAACATCTATTTTACAAATTTCTCTGTGCAGCGAATTTATTGTCAACACATTGACAAATATATAAATTTTTTCATAAAAATAATTTCCTTTTATTCTCCATTTAATAAAATTTTTTTAAACATTTACCTATTTTCCTAAGAAATTTTCTACAGGTCTGCCATTGGATTGAATTGTTTGATCATGAAGAAGCATACTAGGCCTACCTGCCTAAGGAAAAGGATGCCGTTGCGGAGACCTTTATATAGGAAAACTAGTTGTATTCATATTACACGTAGAAAATCCATGAAAGCGCCCATGCAGTCAGCCCTTCGCCTACATTCGAACTCATCTGTTCAGTAGTCTTAGCCCCTGATATGACTACTTTTGTGTTGTACGTTTAAATATATAACTATAATTTAATGTGCAGTATACATTGCATTTGTGAGCCCATTTCGGATCTGTAAAAGGGAATGCAAGAACCTGTATTTCATCAAAACCACTAACTTTACCAATGAATGTTACCAATGTTTACCAATGAATAAAGAAATAACTTGAAACCAAGACAAAGAATTCATTCATTACTCCAGTACTATCAGAAGTTCCTAGTATTAAAATATGTTTATTTTTCAAGATGTATTGCTAGTTTTTTTTTAGAAAAGGATAGCTAGTAAGGTAACTTCCACAAATTTGTTCTGGGACCTTCTCTTTCAGTATGGTCATAAACTTGGCAATATGTAATTAGACTGAATCTGTAGTTTAAAAATTGTACTCTCTATATGCTGCTAAAAGGTTTCGTGCCGTTTATGTTAATAAACAAACATACCTTCCGATATCTTCTGCTAAAGATATCGGAAATAAAGTGCTTAATGGTTAGACAAGGATGCCGATTCTGGAAGACAAGGAGGAAACAAATACAACAGAAGGATGCAGCGTCAAACTTCTACCACTTTTCAACCGCCATAAAAAATCGGCATAAGATTTTAAAACAAGCTGTGATTCTAGAAGTTTTACTTTTGGGAAATGAATAAAAGTTCATGAAGATGTTGACGAAGCTATTTTGAAAGAGATGCGCACAGTTTAAGATAAAAATATCCTGCTTTCGGTGATTTGATAATGGAAAAGGTTGTTGCACTTGTGACACCGAATTTCACGCGACAAACGGTACCTAGAAAAATTCAAGAAAAGGCTCGGAATTGTGGCAAAAATAAATTCGTGAACTTAAATAACTGTTTCGGTTGGAAAAACAGTGCATTGAAAGAAATTCTAGAATGAAAAGTGCTTTGCATCTAAACGCAGCAACGACTTAATGCTGAATAAAAATACGACAGGAACTCGAAAAGAATTGAATATTTAAGAAGAATTAAAACCTTAGAAGTGATTAGAATAGTAAAAGGAAACCATGGACCACGTCCGAAGTTTTCGGAAAAGGAATATAAAAAATGCCAACTTAAAAAAAAAAAAAAAAAAAAAAAAAAAAAGCAACTCTAATTTTTTTTTTTCCCTGAGTGCTCTTATCCACAGAGCTACTGATGCCGGTAGCAGTCTCGGATATCTTTCACGTAAGGCAAACTTGATACTGTTGCTTTGACAATGTGTCCTATTGACGTAAGCGTTTCGACTCTTGTCATCTGACGAGAAGCTCCCTTTAGATGACGAGAGAGTGACGGGAAGCTTCCTTCACGCATAATTTACAAAAAAAAAAAATAAATAAATAAACTGTAATCTGTAAACTTCAATTTACACACTAGAAAAAGAGTTTTCGATGAAAAAAATTTTAATATTTAGCACAATTTTTCTTAAATGTAAGCTTTAAGAAAATTGCAATCTTATTTTTTCATTCAGATTTTATGTTAACATCTGAAACAATTAGAGTTGAACAGCTACGGTAACATATTGGTTTAACAGCTAAGCTCCAGAAATTTACAATTAGTACATAAAATTACGTATATTTAAACCAAGCAGTTTGAATTACCATTACTGAAAGGTATGAATGGCGGGGGGGGGGGAAACTTACTGTTATATCAGTCCATCATAAATTAACAGCACGGGAAGAGTTTTGCATTTATTCAATATAGAAAAAAATTAATTCCCCAAGATGTAGCTTCCCCCCTCCCACACTTTTCCACATACGGCTTTCAAAAATAAAACCCTTACATCATTTCTAATTGACAAAGCATGGAATTTGTAAAGTAAAAGAAGTTTCTTCGAAGTGAGTGATAAGTAATTGTTTGTGTATAGCAAATAGTTAACCTGTCCCGATCATCATTCACCACATTGGTTACGGATATTCCACCTTACGGATAACCTTCACTTTCATTCTTCATTTAGTTCACCACTAATCGAATGATTAAAATTGCTGAACACCACCACAGCCGTCCAGAGTTCGACTTAAGGCAAAATTGCTTGGCTATATGAGTTTTCAAGGTTTCTGTGCCTATAATATAAAATCGAATCACTTCCACACAGCAAAATACCATTCGAATGCAATTAATCAACTAATCCACTTAGAAAATTTTCAGCAGAGGTACTTCAACAGAGGAATTTTCGTTTATTATGCCATAATCGAATACTTAAGCTAACTCAAACATGCTTTTCAATAAATCAGTATTCATCTATAAATGCACTATTCAACATTTTGAGACATGAATAAAATTCGCTAAAGAACAATGTAACCATCATACAGCTATCGCATTAACAAAATTTTGTTTAGAAAAGGAAATTACCGATTATTATATTTCTGCACTCTTTATAAGTTTCAAACAATCAGTAACATAAATTCTACATGGCAGAATTAAAAATAAAAATAAAAGCTGATTACAAATTTACTTCGCAGCATGAAATAAATTATCTCATTTATAATAATATAAAAAATTCCTTTTTGAATCCTAAAGGTACAATCTCAAATTGGAAATTTGAAAAATCCTTCTCATCTCCCAAAGAAGCATATAACGAAATCACATTGTATTTTCTGCTGATTAAGGGACAGTAACATGAATACCAGAAAGTTGGATAATTTCATCTTAATGCTGCCCGTTAGTTTTATGCATCTGCTTTGAATACTTCAGTGAAGCAGGTTTGTAGACCATGATTGGCTAACCAGAACTACCTTTCAATACAACATATTGAGATGTTTTTAGTGCCCTCTTTCAAGCATTTTGTAATTATCGCTGAAGTTCCGATTTCACCTTTTAGAATCTTCGGTATTTTAAAAATAAATACTACTGGTGTGTCAGAAATTAAAGAAAGCATGAAGAAAATCTGTGGGCGTTAAATCCACGTTATTACCGTGGGTGGATTACCACGTATTTCTTTTTTCATCTACCAGGAGAAAATCACGTGATCTCACTAGTTCTTGTCATCGGCTATTGCTGCAGATGTCATCCATAAAAACTAGTGAGTTGTGATCTAAAAGTGTTGCAGTCGCTATCATTCCATAGGTCCTCCATTACAAAATTATTACTTGTATCT